GCCCAGCCAGCTCCAAGGTATCTGTCTTTCCAAGGGGAGCTCTTTAGGAGTCACCTGGCACCCTGCCGGGGCTGGCAGCTACTGCTTGCAAAGGACAGCTAGCAGGAGAGGCTGATAATGTTCATGTCCTGGCCAACACACTGCTTCCAGCCCCGATGAGACCCTCTGCCAAGCACATAATGGCAGCTGTGTCACCAAAGCCCAGCCTGGAGGACCACTCCACTCCTTGCTCCTACATGCACCAGAGGCAGGTCCTGTCACTACAGGACATAGGGTAATGAATGTATCTCATTTCCCAGGACCTGGAAGTACAGGACAGCTGCTCTGAAGCACATGGGGAGAGTGGAGGTGGACCCTGGGGAGAGCCCTCACTGTGGAACCGGGAGCACTGCGAAACCCTGAAGAGTCGCCCAGGTAGGTGAGCAGGCTGAGCTGACCCAGATGGTCTTAGTCCTGTTTTTTTGTCTTGGCTATAGTAACCACATCCCCTTGGTCTCCCAGGAAGGTCTGTTGTTGCCTTATTGGCTGGGGGCACTGGCATAAACTGGAGATTATCACTGTCCTCCCAGCCAGAGCACAGAGAGGAGGAACTGCCTGTCTCCTCACCCCGAGGGATCCCATGTTCAAGGCAGACAGAGGTGGGTTTTCCTTCTCCTGTTCGGTTAGCTCAAGGTCACTGGCATGAATCCCAGCTTCCAGCCATCCAAAGCCCACCTTGCCTTAGGCAGGACCCTCCCTGCTCCTGCCTGCCTGCCCGTGCCAAGACCCATCCCTGAGGGGACACAGTGTGGCCCTCTGAATGGCTCTGGGTGGAGGCAGGAGGCAAGACCTGCCCTGCTGCCCGGTGTGCTTGCTGTGCCCCTTGTGCCCCTAGACAAACAGTAAGTTTCTCCTTGTCGTCACTGCACCGACATTTAGCACCATGGCAGGAAAGGGCTGGAAAATGCCACTGCAGGCACAGCCAGCAAGGGGAAATGTGACAGGCAGAAACCACTTGCCAAACAATGCTCAGGAGACACATCAGGCTGGAGATTTTGGTCTCCTTGGCTGGACACACCTTGCTGCAGGCACTTCTGAAGGCTTAGATAACATGTCTTCTCACTTAACCATTGCATCCTTCCCACCCTCTCCTGGGCAGATCCTGCTTTGTTCTCCCAAGCTGTGGGATAATATCCCAGCTGTATGCTTAGGTGTTTGCTTAGGGCTGTGCTGCTGCTAAAGCTAGTACAGGCCTGTGTAGAGAGGATGAGGAGGGCACTGGCTGCTGCGTAACTCAGGGCATCCTCACTCCTCACGTCCCACCACCAGAGGGGAAAGGATTACTGAAGACAAAAGCAAAGGAAAATCCTTGCATCCCAAGGCAGGCATTCAGACCAGCTGAGTGCAGAGCCAGATCAGAGTCTCTAGCTAGTGTGTGCACTTACACTGTTCTTCCCAGTATAACCCACAGCCAGGGGGCCTGCTGTGCAGGGAGCAGACAGATTTTAGCCAAGGGAAGAGGCCAGGGCTTTGCAATAGAGACTGAGCAGTAAAATGTCTGTACAACATGAGTGCAGAGGGGCTGCCTGAAACCAAGGTTCAAGGGCAGCGAGGACAGCAGAGGAGCAAAGCTATACACAAAGAGGGCTGTAACTGCAGGCTGGCCACAGCTCCTCACAAAGAAAGTGCCTTTTCCTCAGCCTTGTGACCAAAAAGCTGAGAGGGAACAGGAAGCAAAGGACAGATCCCATGGGAGAGCAGAAACCACAGCAGAGGTACAGGCTGCCCACTCAGTTCCTCGCAGCTTTATCAGACCTCAAGTGCTGCGATACAAACAGCCATCACTTCTGGTCTGCTGAGGCCAGATGAGCACCAGCCAAGCTTCCCAGGAAGAGTCCCAGCCATCCCTAGGAGCCAGGAGCATCTTTAACCTCATCGTGTTGGGCAGCACTTGCCCTCCGGAGCCTCCCAGGAGGAGAAGCAGCTACAACAGCATAGCTACAGTGGAGAATAACCCCAAGAGTGAGGCTAGTGCCTGGTACCGACAAACCCACTGCTCTCCTCTGCTTGGGTCCATCCTCAGCTGTCTGCCCTGAACTTAAACTTGTCTCCTCTGTTGTGCACCTAATTATCTGAGCTCCTGCCTGCTTCTGCAGCACAGACATAAAAGGAGACCCCCCTCTCCCCATCAGACAGGAGTGACTGGACAAGTTACAACGCGAATCAAATCAGTCTTGGATATCTCCCCTGTCATTGGGGGCTGCTTCTTCTTCTATAGGGGATGATCTCACGGGTTTTCTCCCCACCTCCCTGTCCTTCTGCTGCTACTTTTCCATTTCTCGTCGCTTTCTTGCTCTGTTACTGAGTGTTTGTCAAGGCACTGGTATTTGCTGCCTCTTTGGCTAATAGCATTATCCTTCTCCCACCTCTGAGCCTGCACTCACAGCACTCCTGCCCTTGGTTCAACCCATGGGGAAGGAGAGTAGAAATGTTTTCTCCTGCAGTTCTCATGTAAGATAGTTCTCTCACCGCATCTGTCCACTGGTGGGTTGCTCTGTCCCCCAGGAGCTCTACACTGCATTAACAGGCTGCAGCAATGTTGCTGCCTGAGATCAGCACTGTCGTTCGTCCTGATGCAGAGTACCATGGCCAGATTTGTGGCCAGCCTGCCTCTCAGCTCAGCATGGATTTGCAGGGGGTGGATTTGAAAGTGAAGCTACAGCTGATGGTTAGTGGTAAAACTGGAGCCAGCTCCACTCTAGTCAGGTTGTGTCCCAGAAGCAGACTGGCCTCAAGAGGTGTTAATGCTGCAGATGAAATTTCATGGCAAGAAAAAGATAATGTTTCTGGTCTGGTCAGACCCCGAGCTAAGCGTGCTCCTGGTCAGGGCACTGTTAGTGGAAACAATAGAAACTCAGTGGAAACAATGCTGAGGCAAAGCCACCAGATTTACTGACCCTGCCTCCCCCAGAACAAGGCAGAGTCTCTCAACCCCTCTAACTATGAATTCTTTGCTTACACTTCTGCTACAGGACTGGCTCCTTCATGCTGGGCTGCAGTCCCATGCAGACAGAGGCAGGGAGAACGCAAAGGCTGAGGCCAAGCTTTGGCTAAACGAGGCCAAAGAGGAGGTGCCGCAGCGCCTGGCCATGCATACACAGTTGGAGGTTCCCCTCTGCTTGCTTCCCATACTCCATGGCACCATCAAGCACTACCTCCTGGTGCCTGACAGTTTGTTTCCGGATTATTCGGTGGCAGTTGTTGTTGGCAACGAGAAAAGGAAAATGTTTATTTTTCCTAAGCAACACGGAACATGAAACATTATGGACTGCAAATGTTTATGCCCACAGGCAGAATGAGAAGACCCAGGCTGTGATGTAACAAGAGAAAGCAAATGAATAAACACTGCAGGACTATTTTTATTATCAGACACTTTAATTACATGACAGTTTGTGAGTGCAGTCCATCAACAACACCACAACCAAGCTGCTGGTGTCACCCAAGCAACAGTTTGCCAGAAACAGAAGTACTTAAAAAGCAAACAAACCCCAGGATGCCAGGAGAGCAAAAGGTCCCAAGAGCC